GTGTGCGCGTGTGTGTGCGCGCGTGTGTGTGTGTGCGTGTGTGGAGAAGGGTCCAGCTGCAGGCCCGGAGGAGGCCGATTCAGGGCAGGTAGGGTTAGGGAAGTAACTTTAAGACGGATATGACGTCAGAAGGATGATGCCCGATTCCAACGTAAGTCGCATGTGGATCTTAAAAAGTTTAAAAGGCCCTGTAATTGGAAGATAATTTAACAGCAAAATCAACTAAAAGTAAAACGGAGTTGTGTTATTTTAATGCACGACAACAACTACGACGGTAATATTGAGTCGACGAGCGTCAATTAAAACTTTATGCTAACTTTAATCCCGGTTACACTCACATTCTCTCGACCATAGAATATATAGCGCAAGTGAGGATGAAATTTTTTAGCACGCCTAGTTGTTCATTAATTAGATGATAATGTCAAAACGACGTTGACATTAATAATTAAATTTCGGATGAATATATGTATGTTTGTGAATGGGTAAATACTGGTCATTTTTTAAAGGGCTTTGTGCTACGTCAAAGAAGTGTGAAATGTGCAAAATATGTGCATTCAATTAAAAATTGACTGCTCATTGTGTCATGTTGATCCGTTTAAAATATTAAATTTAAATGCATCTGTGCTAATGCAGAATTTTACGTCACATTATTTTCCCTGTACTGTACCTCTATATTAATGTCCTCCTCGTTTCTTTGTGACTTTAAAAAGCACTGGGAAAAATGTCATATCTCAATTTAAAGCACTTTCATTTTTTTCACTGTATTTTAACACTCTGGACTTTCGTTTTTCTTGTATCTTTTTATTTCCAGATGTTTCAACCTACATCAAATCCTGCCCACAGTGTGAAGCATTTTACCGGTACCAAGAGTGGAAAGATGGTCTACACAACTTTAATGACAACATAGTGCTGGATCTCAGTTTATGCATCAGCATACGGAGCCTGCTCCAGGTATTGTTTTGTTATATGTTATTGTTGTGGTTGTTATTATTGTTAAGTGTTCATTTATTTCAATGTCACTTCAATTCCAACAGCAATATTGTATTCATTATATATCTCCCCAAGGTTCATACTGCAGTCAGTAGAGTGGTTGAATATTTGGAGTTAAACACTGGTATGAAGTTCCCCTCTGCAGATACAGTTCTCCATGGCTATCTGCATTTCGAAGCACTGACAGCACATGATTACAGCTACTCCTGTATCACTTGTGGTGATCATCCACCTGTAGTCGTCATGGATCTTCACAGGAAGGCAGCCTTCCATTTGTCAGGTAGAAAGCTTTTTATTAATTTAGCAGACTTAAATCTTAGTTGACATCAGATAAGTCTCAGAAATAAACTTCTGTCCTAACTTTCCAACTTGTTTTGTTTAGTAAGTGACCTGCCTGAACCTCCGGAGGACTTCAAAGGGGAGGTTGACGTTGACAAGTTTTGGGAAGCACTTTCAATGGAAAGGATCGGCAGAGGATTTGTTACAAGTACGGTAATATAACAAAACTTACAACAACTTTGTTAACATACTAAAAGTTTTCTTATGAATACATAGTGTTGACAACAAATTTATTTTAATGTAACTAGATTTTCAAATGTTTTTTATAAAGGTGGACAAAGAAATCCATTTGCTGTTCCACCCTCATACCACTTTTGGGCACCATGGATTGGCAGAACCACTCGCTGCTCAAACAAAATTTTGAACACTGAATATCTAAAAATCAGGCCATCCAAGCATGCAGAGATGCGGGACGTAACCATCTCTGAGGACCGTTTGACAGATGAATTGTTCAAACAGAAGGTAAAAATGCCCTAACCTGACCTGAAAACTTGTTGCTTTACATATATTTTAACATGTTTTGTTTTGTAGGTTGAAGTGATTCGTAAGTTGTGCAGAGAATGTGGACTGAATTCATCTGGGTCACGCACAGATCTCCTCCAGAGATTGTCAAACGAAATGCAGTCAAGGGAGGCATATGACAAGGTCTTCCAAAAGATTTGGGCAGCATCGGGTAAACTTAATTAAACACAGCACGTCAGATACTACAGATAAGCGCAGGACACCATACTTTTATGGAATCACATTACAGATAAATGCCCCTTTTTTGTGCCACTGCTGTGGTTGATCATGCAAGAATTCTTAACACATGCGCCAAAATATCTGAAGTCAAAATTTATATTTATAAAAAGATTTGGATGTTACTATTATTTTTCATATACCACGTCAATAACTCATAATAGTGTACTTTGTCCTTTGAATTCACAAAATGACCACACAGGCCACTTATGCAATTTCCACGAAATTGTCAATAGGATGTACTCAAAGGCAAACCAAGGTATTTTAAACATGAGTGCCAGAGGGTGCCTGTCTACTTGGACACAGAGGAACACCGGGATGTCCTTTATAGACATCTGAGGGGCATCGCAGATCGAGAAGGAACTCCCAACAACATTGTGGATGAGGTGGACTTTTTGATGGATGTTCTATTCCCAGAGGTAATGTTATCCCCAGCTGCTCCACACTTTCAAAATAGATACAAAAATATAGATTTATTTGTATTTGTAGATTGAAATATTTTAGAAAATATTCACACAATGTACAAATCCTTTTCTCTTAATAGGCTATTATTTATGGTCTCGCCGTGACCCACAAGGTCTCAGTGGCACATGCCGAAAACTTATTTATTGTTGGACAAACGTTACACACAAGGTAAGAGTAAACCATCTAATTCTCTTTCAACTAAAATGCAATTAAATCCTTACTCCCTTTCTCATGTCCCAAATAACACATTTCAAAACATTTCAGTTTCTGTTGCATTTCATGTTTTACAACCTTATTTCAGTGAAAGAGACCAATTTGAGCAGAGGATCGAAAAGGAGTTGCGACAAACAAGGGAAGTGAATGAGTGAGCAATAAAGTGCTTTTTCAAAAATATTTTTTGTGTTTTATTTGCCTCTGGTTTTATTTTATATTTATTATAATGCATAAAAAGCCAGGTGTTGTGTAATTTTTGTATTATATTAAAACCTTATGAATTATTGACTCTACTTGTCAAAATACAAATAAGTCAAAGTAATTATTGTATTATATTAAATGGACATGGATCATTTAGGGAATATAGGTAAACGTTTTGGCGGGGATACAGAAGCCAGGTGTTTTGTAATTCTATTCAATTAAAATTCTATTCAAAGTAATTCTATCTCAAACCTACCATCCCAAACAAAGTAATTCTACCTCAAACCTACCATCTCAAATTTACCACAGCCACTTAGCGACTTTTTTTTGAAAATCCATTGACCGAAACTTACCACAGCCACTTCCGTAGTATGTCTCCCATTG